CGAGCACACGCACAGGCTCCAACTTTCGCCCACTTTCTGCTCATTCGCCGGAGTTCATAGCCTTTGATTGATGAAGAGGCAATTCGTTGGGAGAAACTCGTCGGCCATGCCAGTGTTAAACACTAATGGCAGCTTAAATTAGATTACAGAAGACTCGGATGGTGGAGTGCCAAGCGTGACCAACGCATTTGCAACTTCCATGCTCCTTTCGCTTGGCATTTGTATTTTATAGCGCACATTTTTCTGAGCGCCATTTATTTAAACTATTCCTGCTCAATTTCAGTAATTCGACAAAAGTGAACCCCGAAAACTTCAGCTGGTATCAAAAATCAGCTCATAAAAATCGCACAAAAAGACATAAATAAGATTTATTGTTATAGTTTTCCACCGTCCAACTCACACCCACGCAGCTCGCACAGACGGGTTTCAATTGCCATTACGTATACGCAGCGTGTGCGTCCAAATGTCCAAAACGAGTTTGCTGCTGCCCCCAGCTGTTGGGCTTTTATATTGGTGTTAAATTTCACGTAAAAATTGCACTAAAAATTAAATATAAATATTTGCTTAGTGCCATTAAAATACCCTTAAAACAAGTTTAATAAGTTTGTTATACAAGTTGGGGCAACTTTAAAGCGGAACTCTCACACTCAGCGAGTTACAAACTTACTGTCAATCTTGGGAAACAGTTTAATAAGTTGTAAGAAAAGTTACTTAAAAAGTTACTCTACTTAAGAAAACTAGGGAAAATAATTTATGAATCTGCAAAAATCCTTAAGGAGTAGCGTATCACTACTTCGTTGTAAATAACATAAATGTTTCTGAAATTAGTTTTGATATCGTGCTGAAGTCAAAACACGAACCAAAATCCTTTATTATGCAGATAGCCTGCTGAGGTTTGGGGTTGCTTGCCTTACGGAATTTCATGGTTACAAATAGTTAATGTACAGTTAATTATTACATAATCACTGACCAGCACGAAATGAGGCGGAGTCCCTCGATCTGAAGAGCGGAATACCGGTAGCTATGGTCAAGTCAAGTACATTGACTCGCTGCATTAATTTATTTGTGTTTCTCACATTTATATTGTTTTATTTCCAGCTCGATCTCCCTTGCCCCCACATCGTAGTATGTTTGCTGGCCATAAATATTAATTATAAAACACGATATCCATTATACAGTTCTTTGGGCACGAAATCATCATCATCAGCAGTAGTAACAAACTGAAGGGGTTGTTCGTATGGGCCTACAATAACATTTTCCGTTTCCAGGTACTCAATTTGTGTATGAAAGTTTTATGTAACATGAAGTCGACTGAAATTACCTATTGCCGAGCCTTAAATAGGCTAAGCGTAGTATTGTATGGGTAAGAGTATTTGTCCTACTTTTAAATTGCCTCTTCTGCCAAAGAATTCAACGTATTTTTATTTATTCATCAATGAAATCAGGTTCTCAGGTAAACATTGAAAGAATTTCCCAGAAACGAATAATTGATTTAGGCGTCTTATAAATTATGGTTGGAGTCTATAAACGATGGGCAATTCAATTAGTAGAAACTCTTGTATATACCTATAACTTATACCTAGTTAAATTTAATTTACTTTAGTCATATGGCTTAGTTGTTCTTATTTCAGTTACAAAATGTATTGAGCAGCATTGTTAAACATTTTTAAGTTTTAACTTTCTATTATTTTTTGAGTTCATTAAATTGTCTCCAACTTAAGCTTAGTAGTTTTTCCCAATATTTTCCAAGCTCAAGTTAAACTTTCTATTTGGCTTGTTGCTGTACCATAGTCCCCATCCTTTTTGCCCAACATTTCTCTTGGCTTTTCCTCATTTTCTCTGTATTGTATAATAATAACATAAAATAATTTATGGCAAATGAAAGTCACAAAAATGCGAAACCAGGCGGCAAGGCAACGGAACCAAAAGTTGGTTTCATGCGCCATTCACTAGCAAGCTTTCTATTGGCCTCTTCCTCGCAGACTTTAGTAAACCCTTTTCCAAGGCGACTCTTTTGAAATTGTCGTAGTATATTTTTGGTAGAACCAAGACCCACACGTATACAAAAAGACGCCTGGCCAAGACGTGTAAACTTTCATTTTCTCCGCGTTTTTGGCCAAAAATGTTTCTCTAAAAACTTGAAAGAAGGTGAAAGGAGGATGCATGGTATATGCTTTTCTTGTATCAAGGCTTTTCTGATCTTCCGTTTGGTCTCCCAGCCACGCCCCTTACTTCCACGCCTTTGTCGTCCGCTATGCTTTTTAATTTTTTTTTTTGGGAATTTCAGTCAAGCCTTTGTTTTAAAAGCTTTTGTAGCGCATGCTTTGAATTTTGTTGCCTCTGCTGCTGCATTTTGATGTTTTGGCTAAAATTGCGCGACGAAATTCACAAAGGAGCCAAAAATGCACCAGAACCACCCCTTTCAACCCACCCCATTAGTAGACTCAAAGCCGTAGATAACCGTTCCAAAATTTCACTTTGTCTTGAAATCTTTTGAAAATCTTTGGAATTTACCGGACACAAAGACAAATAAGTCCCTGGTTAAATATTTACAACGCTCTTATATTGAAAGTGATAAAAATAGAATGTTCCCCCTTTTCATTCTTAATTAATTAAAACCGCAGATTCGTGGGCTTGCTTCAATCCCTTCCCTCACCTGTCTAATTCCTGTCAGTTCATTCCGCGAAGTAATTAGAAATGCTACGACAAGTTTCCCGCTCTTCTATAAAAAACCCCGCAAGTTTCGCTCAACGGGTTTGTCACTCACTCAATCAATTTGATTGCCAAAAGTATTTTTAGAAAGCCTAATTTGTAGTTGGTAGGGCAAATACCTGAAAGTGTTTTAGTTTTGAAAACCGTGGGGGGTTAACTTTTAAGAAAATAATTTTAAATGTAAACCTTTTGAAACTGAATTTTAAAGGAACTCAACTTCACTCTTAGTAAATAAACTGAGTTCGAACAACGCTATTTGTCAAGAATGTAGCAACTAAAAGCATAAAATGTATAAGCAACAGGGAAACCTTACAGTTGCGTTTCGAAAATATGACCACCACATACGAGAAGTCAAATATAAAACACAAATTCAATTTCCAGCCACACAAAGCGATTTTGGCGGTTGACTTGTTTAGACGCCGCATGAAGGGTTAATCCTTCAACCCTTTCGGGGACACGTTTTCCGGGCGTAACAAAAAGCGTCAATCGCCAGCTCCTTCGCTTTTAGCACATTTCCGCGTGTTTGTTTTTGCCAAAGCGTTTTCTTTCTTTTTGGCCAAAACGTGTTGCTAGCCACAAAAGTTTGCCACCCGAAAATGCGGCAAAGGTGATGCGATGACTGGCCCCGTCGTCCACATTTTTTGTTCCCGCTCCCTGGAGCATTTGGTAACTGCTGCACTCAACACGCTGACAAGTTCTTGGAAATCGTTGGAGGGGAGGAAAATGGAAATAGACATTCGTCAGTTGGTCACAATGTCAGTCGAGTTTCCCAGTTCGTTGCATACTTTTGGCCGCCTGTTTAGCAGAAATGCATTAGCCGTGGGTGAGGGGGTGGTGGTAAATGGAGCAGGCGAAGGATTTTCCACCCAGCTCTTTAAAGATTTATTATAGCTGCCGTTGTTTTTGTTGTTGTTGGCTACTTTCGGGTAGGTTCCGTGTGATAAAATGCTTGACACTTTTCTAAACGGCCAAACTTTTTGACTGCCAAGAGATTGTCCCTCCGCTCCTCTGTTCTTTGCCATCCCTCACCATTCCCACTTGAGTCCTGTACTTTTTAATGCTCCATAATGCCTGTTCCCTACAAACCAGGTAGCTATCTTATCCCTTTCTCTGGTCCACAGTCTTTGCAGTTTGTTGACACTGTCTGGCTTAGAGAGCGCATAAAGTGGAAATGATTTACGCAGTTCACCTTGTTTCTGGGTGCGTGTGTGTTCCTACATCCTGTGGGCATAATAAATAGCCCCAGCTTTTGGTCTGGCAGTTTTGTCAAATAGCTCTTCGGAGCTCAAAACACCTGAAAGCTGTTTTTTTTTTCTCTTGGCCCAAGACTTTCCGAAGACACATAGAGAGTAGAGAGCTTAGCTGGGAATTCTCTGTAGAGAAGAACAAAGCGCCTGTGACAACTGCAAAAATCTTGGGAATAAACTTTTCAATCAACTGCGCAAGTTATCATGGCTTTGATTTGTGGCGCTTTTTTGCACTTGTTTTCCTACAATCTAGACCTGATTCAATTTAAATATTCTTAGCCATATTTTTAATATATTATATAAATACATTTTAATGGTAGTTTATTAGTAAGTTACATTATTCAAAGAACTTACTAAAATGAAAACTCACGTATAATCTGCTTATTAATGTCATTGATTATTTGAGTTTTATATTCAATTTTCAATGAATCCTTTTAAATTGGAGAAAACTGACATCATATATGATTAATAAAGAAACAGATTCCCCTTTTGACTTAAGACTTTTATAACATAGCAAAATATGAATCAAATATGTCCAAACTTTTGGCATCGCATTACATTAGCTTATATCGCATTGCTTTTAAAGTACGTGTTTTTTAGTGCCACCTATTCCACTGGCCTTTCCTGTTCAAAATTCTATAAGCATTTGCTTGGGTGCTAATGGACAGTTTAGAGAGGCAACCAAACGAGAAGCTACTCGTACTGTGGAACTAGCTGCACTCGGGGCAAAACTTACAACAGAGCGAAATGAAATCATAAATGCCAGGACACGTGCCAGGACAACGTGCCTCCAGTTGCAACGAGGTGTTAAAGTTTTCTCAACCCACCAACCCCCCTCCGCCACTATTTTTTCTTTCTGGACTTTTTGGCAAGTCCCGTAGAGTCGCGAGTGGTTAGCATTCCGAATGCAAGTTAGTTAAATATTTAAATTTATTTATTGGACTTGGCTTGGACCCTGTCCGGAGTCGAAAGCGCTGCAGCCACGGCCATTTAAAATAATCAAAAAAGTAAAGTAACTAAGAGGGATAGAGGTGGACTTACCGTGTGAATCTTTCGAGGATGTGCCCCCACCGCCGCCGCCTCCTCCTCCTCCGCCGCCTCCAGGACCCATGCTGCTGCCTCCGCCGGACATTCCGACGCCGGAAGTGGAATGCAGGCGCGCTAATGTGAGCGGCATTAGCAGAGCCATCGCCAGGAGCAGGACCATAAAAATTTTCCACATTGTTAACGTGGCCATTTGACTTTTATTGCACTTCATATTCCCCCTTCGTTCGCCCCGTTCTGTCTCTCTATATATATATTTTTCTTATAATTTTCCTTTGGCTCCGTTTCTTCGTTCACCCTTCGCCGGGTTGTTGATTTTAATTTGATGTGACTTAAGTTGGATTTGGTTTGCAGATTTGGCGCTGCAGTTTTTCTTTCTTCTCTCCGACTTCTCCAGTTTCAGTTTCTCGTCCTCCTAATGGAAGCACATTTCGATTTTCTCCGGTCTACGTTTTCCCGGTGGCAGCAGCTGCAATTGAGAAAAGAAGAAGGGGGGGTTGAATCCATTGGTTCCATTGGTTTGAGTATTGAAAAGTTTTTAGTTTGGAGGCTAGTTAAAAAGTTGAACAAGTTTCTTTTGCTCTTTTATTCCACTCTCATTTTTTTTTTTTTTTTTAAAAAGTCAAGTTGAAGCCGCAATTATCGAGTTGTAAGGCGACGCGCCCTGTTAAGACCTCACACAGATGTTCATGTTCACAGGGTGGGGGAAAACTCAATTTTCGGGCAGGAAAGTTTCTCAAAGAGAGATGAGCAAGTTCGTCACCTTGCCAGAAAGTTTGGACGTTTTGGAGGGTGAATCAAAAGGTGGTTTGACAACATTAGTCATGGAATTTAAGGAGAGTAATTATTGAAGCGAGAGGTTAGAGTGGAATAATAAAATATTACGAGCTACTAACTTTTAATTTTGAGAGTTTGCTTATACAGAACATATACTTAATGTCTCATTAAAATTCATTTTATTTTAAGCCTCAACCCTTTACAGAAAGTACCCAAATGTATTATTACAATTTTAGTAAAGAGCATTTGTTGCAAACCAATATTTGCATGCCCCAAAATACAAATTTCTTCATAAAAACCAGGTAAATTTATTTTTGAAACAAAAGTTTTGTAAGGCTTACGTCACTCTTTTACTAAAATAAATTTATTTTATAGTAAAAGGAATATTTTTAAAAATTTGCTGCACCTACACTACAAAAATTTAATTTTTTGTTCACATTCTAAAAACCAATTCAACATTACAGTTTGCTGTAGTACAAGATAAGGCATTGAAGCAAACAAAAAGTTGCCGTTTCCGTTCAGCAACCCTACCTTTGCCCAACCCTCATATCTCCCCTTTAACCATCCCCAGATTGGCAGAGAACGATAAAATTTGCCATAAGCAATATTCAACAAAGGACGAGAAATATTGTATTTTACCTTAAAACATAAAATAAAAGGTAAAAAAAAAAATTGGCACACAACTGGAGAACAAAAAAGACATCTCATGTATCTCTCTTTCGGGAAAAATGTCCCCAGCAAATAATAATGATTTGCAAATATATAAAAGGCAAGGTATGGATGAAACTTAGAGGTGAGCGAGGAAACAAAATGCTGACAAAGAAGGAAAAGGTACCGCCAATAAACAGACACAAAAGGTAGTCAGAAAAGATACAAAAATGAAAGAAATGGAAAAGATGTCAGCCCTAGACAAAAAAAGGCAAATCAATAGGCTACAAAGCGCAGGCAAAAAATCAACCCAAAGTTGGGTCGAAATTTTTCAAGTTTTCTGGGCTAAGGATTCCCACACTTGGTTTCCTGCCCCTCCTCTATCTGCCATTGTCATTTTGTCAACGTGTCCGTCGAGTGTCGTCAACTTGGTGGAGGATAGAGTGGAACCTGCCCTTAATAATGATAAGAATGTAAGACAGCGCAATAAGCGACCAAAAATATGGCCCAGAGATAAGCAACAAGGGGACACTGCCGGAAAGGTGCCAATGTGAAGCAATATAATAATAATAATAACAAAAGCCCTCGCAAAACCCACCCCCCTTGCAGGAAAATAATAATGATAAAACTAATGGTCCGGCTGGCAATTATGAAAAAAAAAATTTGCTTACCATTTTTTATTCCTCAGAAAAAATGGTTGGAAATATATAAACTGTAAGAGGGAAGTGAGGGGAGGCTTAACTTGAACTACACTTGAGCAATTTGCGCACAGTCGAGTGCGCACATTAACCCACACAAAGAACGCGCACATACACTTCAAAACAAGCAACAACAACAACAACAACAAAAACAACAATGGAGAAATGGCAAAATCAACATGGCGTACAGTGAGCGGAAACGGAAACGTCGGCCGGCCGAGCTAGCGACCAGCAACAGAACCATCCAACCAATAGACAAACATAGAGGGGCTGGTTGGCGTTGCAGGGGAAAGGAAGAGAGAACCAAAAACAAAATAAAAATATTGTTAGAAAACGTAGTATATAGGTCGCATCCACGAATAATGGATACTCTAGGAGTCAAACTATTTTCGTTAACCATTTTTAAATGTTTCAAGCTTTCAATAATAAAACCATATTTGTGGCATTGAAAACGATAACTTAACTTTGTAAAAATGAATACGATTATACTTATATAAAATAATAAGATTAAAATAAATTTATATAAATAACATATATCTTGGTATATTAGAAAATGTATAATTTTGGTCACATTAGTTTCTGTTCGCTGGTTAACCCAATCTTTAAAAATATGTATATTAAGTAAACTATCTGACTGAAAATTAAGATTTATTTCAACAAGGCTTTTATCCAGCAGCGACAAAACAAAGGCCTAAGTTAAGTGAGCCCTTTGCCCCAGAAGGGAGCATTAAGCATACGTAACGTTGGAATAAGAATGAAAGAATACATTTGATAGACACATTTTATTGCATGCAGTCGTCGTCAGTGGCCTGTCGCTGCTGCTATTCAGTGGCTGACTGACGGCAGGACGAACTGGGGAACTGAAGGGCCGGAGCAAGGATCTCCTGCAGCCAAACCAGAACTCATACACAGGCCATTTGAACAATAGTTGTGGCACTTTCACCACCCCTCCCTCCTGTCAATGGCTGCCTGGCACTTCCTGAACCTCGATTGGCCTCTCACTTTGTGTCTGGCTCAACTGCCTGTTGTAGTTTATTATTCCCGCCAGCCTCATTCTTTTCTATTTGGTCTAAATAAATTTTTATCATGTGCAAAGGGCCATGGAGAACAAACAATCTCGTAGTGACTCTATCTCCAACGGACTCTGGCTAGTCCGTCACTTTAATCTGCCCTGCACTTGGTACCTTATTCCGACCGCCAGTCACTCATTCAGTTATTCATTCAGTCACTTCCTTCCACTTCCCCATCCACAGAACTTGGCCTGTTTCGCCTGTTTTGCCTGTTTCTTATGGTCTTTGTGGCTATTGAAGCGATCATTTGGAACATGCACAGAATTTTCTTTTTTTCTCTTTATTCTCCTCAATTCCTCCCAAAAGTTATTAATGGCAGCAACGTTTAATATGCGAAAAATTTAAGAAATTGCTTTCATATTACGACGTTAATAGCGGCGCGAACGATACGATTTCGCCATTTCTGATTTTTAGTGTCGTTGAGATTAATGCCTCCGGATACAAGTACATTTATACAAATAAATCTATAACCATATATGTAATGACAATCCTTGGTTGACACATGGCCAACACTTAAGCCACTGGCTTTATGCCTCAGCAGCCGTTGAAATTTATGTCCTTGCACAGGAAATATCTTTTCATGTCGTATTCCCACACACTGCCACTTAAATGTATAAATATTTATGGTTATATGTATGTTCTTGCGGTCAACAAAACGTCGTCAAATTGTTTTCGAGGCTCTGGTCAAGTTTGATTAACTTTGATGGCCGAATTGGTGATAAATATTTACAGCGTTTGTATTTCTGTATTTCTATAGCAACTAGAGGAAATACTGATATAATAAAGTAATTGATTTTCACTTAAGCTTGTACAAGCCTTCCAAAAAATAACGTATGTTATGTTGTCAAATCTTTTAATAGGAAATTGTGTCTTTCCAATTATAGCCATTTGACATATTAATTGGGAGAGAGAAATTAACAATTTTTTAGGTGAAACAATGTAAAATGTTTTTTTTTTTTGTGATAATAAAGTAAGCACAAAGTTTAAATTTTTTTAAGGATAAATCGACAAGTAAATTACCAAACTAAATGTATTTCTTTTGCTGAAGTTTTACTACCCACAAAATTTAATCACAGTCATACAGTAAAACAAATTTAAAGAAATTAAAACGAAAAGTTTTACCGACATTGTATTCAAAATTGTTTTTTAATTATTACAGATATTGTATTTTAGTAATTTTATATATTTTAGTTGTATCAATATCAGCATTTGTATACATATTATTTTCCCTGTCAAATCTTTAATTTGCTAAGGCAAGGAATCAAGAAATGGATTTAACCAAGGCAAAGCCTTCAGTATACAAATCAAACAGATGCCGCAAAGAGGGACCGAAAGCCAGTATTGAGGCAGGGAGGACTCCTTCTATGTTTTCCTTTCCCTTTGTCAAACATTACCCTCCCGATGGCTGTTTCAATAAACTTATGCAAATATTCAATTTGGGGAAGTTTTTTTTTGACAAATGATAAGGCCAAACAAAAGGAAGCCAGACAAATAAAGTTTTCACACCCGAAAAAAGGCGAATGAATAAGGGATAAGGAAAGCGATATCCGGCGGTTTGCTTAGCAAAATTAAAATGGGAAACGAACATACATATATAGGGGACTAGAGCGTCGGAAGCCCCAGGATGAGCGGAAATGCGGAGTTCTAAGCAACTTTTCACCGGGCTTTCCATCATGTGAGGCATACCAATCAAGCTAAACAACTTATTCCCGACTCACAGAGCACCATGTCCCCACTCCTCTTGTAAAAGTAAACCGAAGTAAATTTCAATTTAACCTTCATCGGGCAAAACTCATTTATATTTATAAATTCGCCGACAACGCTGCAAAAAAAAAAATATAAAAAACAGTAAGCACCGAAAAGAGGCAGATAGAGACTGAGAACGAGACGGAATATGTAACGAGTATAAATAAATGCCAAGTGGAGGGTAGAGGAAAAAACACAATAAATAAAAATGCGTGTGTCTGTGGTGGCATAATAAAATTGCACCAAAGGCAGCAACAACCCAAGAAAACCTACCAGCAGAACGAACAGAAAACAAGTTCAGTGAAACCCAGAAAAATGATAGAGGGAAAGGTTAAGGACGAGGTAACGAATAATAAAAGTGAGGCAAGCCCACACAGAAAAGCGGCCAAAAGGGATAAAAATCCATCAAACTTGCAAATAAGCCACAAGACGAGAAAGATGAGTTTCAGGCCAGCCGAAGACACACTCGTAGGAGTATGACCGAAAATGGAGGTCTCCCCCGATTCCGATCCCTCTTAAAAGAATTCCCCTGGCTGGGGCGGACATTGGCATCGTAAAAGGCAAAAATATTGCGCAAAATAATGTTTCATTTCGGTAAAATAACATACTCATCATTGAATATACAATATAAATGCAATGAGCAAGGCAAAGCAATAGGCCAAATAAGGGGATGTTCGACACCCAGCTTTATGGCAGACTTGGACGAACACACTTAAATTGCCAGCCATTTCCATTAACTGCCTAAATTATACTTGGGCGACCGCACAATATTTCAATGATAATTTTGAAACATTTATACAATTTCTTCAGAATTTAGCACATTTCAATAATTGTTTATTTATGCATACTTAGACAAAGACCGGAATCATACAATACATACTTGAGTGTGCTTTGTAAGGATTTAATAACTTTAATCAAATATTAAATGAGTGCATTCAAAACAGACGGCAAATACCAAAATACTTATGGTTTGTATAAAAGTAAGGCAAGTTTATTTTTGCGGTAGCAAATATACAAATAAAAGTATACTCATTTTAATTCAATATAGAAGAAAGTTAAAGCTGATTTTTAAATGTATTTCGAAAGTTAAAAATACCTTTTAGGTATATTAATTTTTGCGCAAATCAATCAATTTAAACAATGCCAGACTCTTCAGAAATGGTTGCCTATCCCATTGCTCCTAACGACTTCAATTGCATTTTCTTTTCCAAGAACTTAACCAAACTCCCAAAAGACTTCGCTACCCACTCAAATATCTCTAACAAAAGGTGAAAATTGTTTTGGAATCATCGCAGCCACAGCCCTTTTACCCATCCTCCAACGCAAAAACCTCAGAGCAGACATCTGTTTGCTTCCTTTGGCGCGTTTTCGTGCCACGTCAGGTTTTGTTTGCTGTTTGTTAATATACAATTTTTTATGCCATTTCATTCTGTTATTGTTCAGATCGATTACGGTTACAAGTGCCAGATACTTGAGCGTGAAATTCTGAGAAAAACGCACGTGTCTACCAGCCGTCTTTTATTCATGTTGCTTTTGCTGTTTTCGTTTGGGTAGTCTGTCATTAGGAAGATTGATTTCAAAAGCGTGGAAAGTTTTCCCTAAATCGGCTTTTATTATGTGGAAAGCCACCGCACGCAATGCGGCCAGGTCTAATATTACGAAAGGAAGTTCAAATTGTGTGTTTATTATATTATGCATTATATTAGTTTAAAAATTACTCAACTTTACTACTCGGTTTATTTCAACGATATTCAACAGATATAAAAGCAGTTATTTTGAAGAAATTAAATTTTAAAATGTATAAATTAAGATAACCTCATATGATTTATGTATTTATTCCTTACTATTCGTCCCAAATAAATTTTGATTATTAACATTTCAATTTGCATACCGCACAAACTTACAAAAGGGAAACAAAAACTTTTTATGTGCATTAAATAAAAAAAATAATGGGAAAATTGCATAAAACTTTAACTCTGAAACGCACATTTGCGGGGGGTTGAAGAGGTTAAGGTTTTGATGGGGTTGGCATGGGAGGGTAAAAAGTACATTAAAATCACATTAACCCGTCAACGGTTAAGGTTGGGTATGCGTAACTTTTGTTTATACGTTTCGGCTTAATGCCTTTTTGAAGTAAGCACACTCGTGGAAAATCTGTACTCCAGATAAGCCACATTCACATAGGTAGCATTGTCAACTAACCCCTAACTGGGAATACCTCTGGGGAAATGTATCTCCCTTATTATTCTTTGGTCCTATTGCACGTAATTGACTCTTCGCCATAAATTTGAACTCAAACAAATGCAGGCGACTTTCACTCCGGACTGGATTCGAATGGCCCTTCGGCAGCTCAATTAGCCATTAAGCTTTTTGAAATTGTCAAAAATGTTTGCGATAGCAAGCCAATCAAAAATTCCGCCTGCGCATTTGTATCTCAACATTTGTATCTGCAGCGGACAACCAGAACTCCGGTCAAAATCCCACACCCCTTCACTCTTATCTCCATTTTTGGGGTAGCCGTGCGTGTCCTTTTGGACGCTCTGGAACAGCCTTCCTGCTGACTCATTTGCATATTTTAATTGTCCAAATATAAGAGAGAAATTCGTAAAATCACTGCAAGACTTAAATATTAACTTTGCCAGCAGTTTGTAATTTCTCACTCTTTCACTTCCATTTACTGAACTAATTTATTTATTTTCTCCCAAACTAAGCAGCAATTGTATTTGCCCTTGGAGGAGGTAGAAAGGAAGCCCAGAAGTTGTCACTTTTCTCTAATGAAAGGCGGCATGCAAATTTAATAAACAGGCGAAAGGCATGAAATTTAGGTCCTTCAGGTGGGTCGTTCATAAGTTGGGTCGACCTGAGCTAGTGAAACTTTGGGACACGGACAGTGATTGCTCTTTTAGTCAGTCCCCCATTATTTATATTTAACTTATGTTTAAAAGAAAAAGTACTAATAATAAAAAGAGCATGAATTATTAGTTAGTGTCTTTGAGACTAAAAACATATACAAATAATTGGTAAAGTTTTGTTTTAAAGCACTTTTAAATACGACTAAGAAATAGGCTTTTATGGGAAATTAAAGTAAACAAACCCCTATTTTGAACTCTTCTACTTCTGTTAAAACCATTGTTTTTTACATTTAAAAACTAAACTTTTTTTAACACTAAAACTTGAAATATTTGAACAAGAAATATTTTATTTCTGTATCAGTACTCCCATTTACTTATCATTTTTTAAGTTTTTTTTCTTCAAATATTTTCATTTTTTTCCCTACTTTATTTTGCATTGCTAGACAAAGGAAGGAATGAAAAAAGATGAGCAAAGACGGGAAAAAACAAGTAAATAAACTTTAGGCAAAAGTTTTTGGCAACTTTCTGGCAGTCAGTTGGCGCATTTTAAGTTACGGCAATCGGCGGGGCCCAGTGGCATAGGAAAAGAGGGGGAGATCACCGGGGAACACAAGTTGCGAGCCACGGGGGCAGAGTGAAGGGGCGGCAAAAGTGAAAAACTGGCGCATCGAGACAAGAGCTTAAAACCGCGAATTCCGCAACTTTCACACTGAAAAAAGCAAATTAAAGTCCGGTCAGGCCTTTGAAATCGAAATAGGGTTAAAGGCAACACACAAATATATGAAAATAAAAATGTTAATAAATTTTGGTTGTTATCCATTATCCATTAAAACTTAAAATTGTGAAAATATTATTAATATTTGATTTGTAATTGTAGCCTGATAACTAATAAAAAATTGTTTTATATAGATACAAGAATTACCGAAATAATGATTTAAATTAAGTAATACTGTTGTTAAAAAGTTTTATATTAACTTCTCAGTTTCAGAAATACATGGTTCCCTTTTTTAGGATATTTAGTTTGAATGGTACATAATTGATTGAATTTGCCTTTTTCGGCTTATTGCTCTGATGTCCTAGTTTTGAAATATTCTGCAATTAATTGACTTAACAATATAACAAACTATTATTAAATTATACTTTTATGTTTTTCTTGTGTCACTTACACTAACCTTTTAAAAAGAGTGGAACAAACTAGCAAACTCCATTAATTAATTCCTGCAACTTTACAAACTTCGGTTCAGCTCAGCGTTTTTTCTCTATCTGCAACAACTGCGAGGGCGGGTGGCAATTTCAACTTTAGCTTGGAAACTTTCGGGCAAAAAGTCACTCTTAAAGAGCAAAAAGTGAGGCCAACTTACCTGGCGAACAATTTAAATTTGTCCCACGCAGGATAATCCTTTATTGCTGTTGTTTTTACTATTTTCGCTGCTGCTGTTGCTGCTGTGACTATTATTGTTGCTACTGTTGCTGGACTTTTGTCACGCACAAGAAGGCAGTGGGCCAAGCCAACTTTGAACTGACCACGTGACCATCAAAACACAAACAAACACACACACCGGGCACACGCACACACACACACACAGAAGACACTGGGGCACTTGCAAATACTTAGCTGCTGGTTTTAATGTATGCCCCAAAACGAGAGCAGGGCAATTAAAGCGCCCAAAAGGAGTCGGAGTGGAGCGTTTGTGTGTGCAACATGATTTTTTCCTCTGTTGAGAAATAAACACGCAAACCTCTATGCAGTTCCCCCAGTTTCCCCCCAAATCGAGGCTGGAATATTCTAATTAGCAATTATTGATTTCGATAAGTGGTTCTTTTTGGCGGTACGAGATTTATTTATTCGCGACAACGAACCCGATTGTGTGCAGGACGAGACCCGATAACTTCGCTAATTCGATGGCTGCCGCAGCGAGCGTCAGCATCCCGGCAAACACGTTCGAAACAGTCCGACGGCTGAGCTTCAACTGAATCGGCCTGGCCAACTCAGAGCCCCACAAGCCCCACAGTCCCCCGCCGGAAGTCGGCGGCCCGAAGCTCCGTCCCTCGGCTGCCGAACCCCAAGCGACCGTCTTCCGAGCGCCAGGATAAGAGCCGAGCTTCTCAAAGGACAACACGAGCGGAAAACTCACGAGCATCCACCAAACAGCTGAATAAAGAGAAGGCGGATGTGACATTTGGCTCTCTGACCTAACAAAAATAAACGGAAAATATTTATTCAGACTTTGGTTAGATATGATTACCTAAATGTTAAACATATTACCCATAATTTAAAAACACCAAAAAATAATTTACAAAATTTGTTTGATATAATTTCTAAATTTTTTGATGATTTAATTGAAAATTGGGCTAGCTTATTAACTTTCGGATTTTATGAACGACTGGAATTCAGTTTTAAAAAAATTTCTTTAACACTTACAAATAACTCATTAACTCATTGTAAACCAAAGCTAAACCGAAATATTTTAACTCAATATTTTGTTAAAATAGAAATGAAGATATTCCCTTTCTGCTTTTACAAAAACAAAATATCATATAAAATGACTATTGCAAATCTTAAAACAATTAAAATTACTATTTTGCTTTAATATTCATCAGCGAAGTTATAATTTTATTTCCTTTTTTTCCAATCGTTTTAAAAGGACCTATGGTCGACCGAAGACGAAGCGACTATCCTGGTGATGCTGATCAAGAATATGTTTTTTTAATAGGGTGGGAGACTTCTCCTCTATTGCGTTGTAAACTTTTGACTGAAAATATAATACCCTCGGAATTTTTATTTAATGTCCAAATTTTATCATTACTTGATCGGCTATCGTGATTATTAGCAAAAGTGAAATAATAATTTAAAGAGATGGCATTGCTGAATGCAAAACAATTGTAAGTAATCAAGAGTAAAAATCGTGAGTTGGAATCTCTTACCGCGAATGTCTTATACTGGTCTCAGTTTAGGTATAAACTTGGTTAAGGTCTTGGCTTAGTGGTTTTCCAAGCCATGTTGTGTATGCTATGTAAAAATAAATATAATATGAAATCTAAGAGAAGTATAAGTAAAATTAGTATTATAAGTAAAAAGCCATCTTTTAAGTTTTTTCTTTTAACTGTCTACTGGTATATTAATCGCGCCTGTCTAGAGCAATATTAATAAACCAAGGAAGAATATAAGTACTAAGTCGTTCCGAAGGCATACCAGAAATAATTTTTGAAAAAGTGCGTTTAAGGTTTTAGGCGCATTGGATTCCAAGTTTATCACTCATACGCCAAATTGCCTTTGATCAACAAATTTATTATAGCTGACATAGCTTCGTATGAGTGAACTTTTACAGAAACATTGAGACTATTGCTTAAAGCCTAAATCATAAAATAACATTTTGTTGGTTTTTGAATACATCTTTTTGCACACCAAAATCTGCAAGGTTAAGAACCCTATATGGCTTGTACCATTCCCTTTTCTGCCAATTATAGAGCAAAACCCAATCAAAGTTACAGACTGTCAGCTAATTAACTCCAGATTCGACTCATCCCCCAGGGGACCTTTGCTCAAACCCTTTCTCCCACTTTTATCAACCTTCCCTGCCCCTTAACTGCAATCACTCAAAGTAAAAATTGTCATCAAGCTGCGCAGCAACTCATACAAGACGCGTAAAAAATGGCAAGCGAAAAAGGCAGACAGAAAATGAAACCCGAAAATGAATTGCAGCAAAATGCTCAAACACACTCTACGAAATTGACTTAAATAAATAAATGGCATAAAAACAAAGAGAAAACACATGCGCAGCAAGAAAGTGAATCGGAGAGCAGAGGACAACAGCGTGTCATAGAAACAAAGTGCATTCCCCAGAGGAAAATTTGGAGTGGGGGAGGTGGAAATGCGGGGTTTTGTTAGCTTGTTGCAACATTTTCATTTCATTTTATTCAGTTCAGTCAATGCAATGCAACATTCGAATGCAACAACTGCAAGTGCAGCCAAAGACAACGCTTAGTAGCTCATCCATTTTCATTTGTACTAAGCTAAAGGCAAAGGACATGGCCAAGTTGCAGCGGAATTTCACACCGCACCCCTCCGCGTTTTCCACCCGCGTAAAATAAAAGCGTTGGCATTACTCAGCAAATACTTGTTTGCTTGCTCTGGCTTGACAAAAAGTCTATAACCCCCCTGCCTTCATTCCGCATTTGCTTTCCCCGGGGCTGCTCGTTAGCACAGCTGCCAAGAGAATTTATCTTACTCCCTCGAATGCAACTCGATTTTATTTTATTTGTGCCCTCATTGTTTCTGTTTGGCATATTGGACGTATTGTTAGCCCCACAATGATCGATGCAAATTGATGCGTATTGTTAATGGAATTTCTTTCATGCGGAGGAAAACAATACGGAAAAGTATGCAACACAAATTGGGCGGAAAACAAAAGGATGCTAAGAATGGGTAATGTCAATCACACATTAAGTTGTATGTCACACAAATCTCTAGAGATGTTGATTGCTAGATTGAAAATAGAAAATATAGGTCGAGGTCATAGTTTTAGTTTTAAATTTTTTCCTTTTCATTTTCCAGCCTATTTAAATTCGCATTTCGGTTTACCTTCTGATTTAAACAGATTTATGCCACATGAAAAAATCTAAAATTTATACATTTAACCAACCCAATCTTCCTTTGACCTTTCTCACTTTGTGTTTCAAAAAAAAAATATAAAATAAGACCCTGAAGATGCTGGCGAGGTAAAGGAAAAAATGTCATAAATATGAACGTTTGCAATTTGTTTATATTAAAATTGAGAGTCAAAAAGCATCCTAAGGTGGAGGGTTGGGTGGTGTACTTGTTTCCTGTGCCCAGATTCCCATTGCATTTGGCTCTGCCAACTGCCCCGCCCCCCTGCTCCTCCGGTGGCGCAGTATCGCCTGCTGTTTTGTGAATTATGCGCCTTCCGTTGCATGCGGCGGCATTTCCCAGCCCGAGCCCAAGCGCTGGCTAGTACACTGAAAACAGTCATATAAATTTAATAAATGTACTTTAGGGAATTAGAATTTATAACCTAAAACAAAGCATAAGTACCATCATGATGGAGATAACGTACCCCTACTTGCATGCTTGATGTTAATACCTTATTTTATACCAATAGAAAAATAATAATACATCTTTTAGGACTTAAATAATTTTTACTTCACTTAGATCGTGAAAATTATTGACCACATTTAAGCAAATGAGCTGAATAACTAATCTTTTCTACTATATCTTAAAACAACTAGAGTTTCCCAATTTCTACCATTACATTATTAACAGGACATTTTTTTCCGTGTAGCTGTTGCCGTTTCCAAGGCCCAAGTCCAAATAATGGCTTGACGCGCCTGGCTGCATATTTTTGAAGTCAGCGTAGATGCAGAATGTGTGAGCCAGAAAAGGAAAGGAAAGAAAGCCAGTCCACCCACAACTAACTGCGCTCGTTTTTGTAATAAAAATGTCATAAATCTTGATTCCTTGAACTCTAAACCGAAAAGCGTGCGATAGCGACACAGGACATCGCTCTGCCCTTCTCGCTCGCTCACATTCAGCTTGTGGGTGGGCAATAAAACTGTCTATTTATGCTCGCCTTGCATATGAAGTACATTTTATTTGTTTTTATTTATTTGCACTCGTTTGCAATGACTTTTCCTGCCTTCTTCTACCCACACTACTGAGCAGGAGTCTCTGCTGAGATAATTGATTTATTTGACTAGTTTAAGTGCGAATAAAATCTTGTTAAGCGAGCTAAGAAATACATACGAATCCAAGTGGTTTAAGTATCTTAAAATCTGAGAAAATCCAGCAAGAAGAATATGCTTTTTAAGGAAATCTGTAAAGATTTTGTACTTGTGAAAATCTTTTTGTCCACATTAAACGAACTCTGCCAGACATTTTCTTAAAAATCATCCACACCCCATCAAAAAATTAAACTCAAAGAAATTTTAGTTCGTCGTATTTTTTCAATCTTATCATTTTTAAACATTGTCAAGCTTAAACAAAAAACTTAAGAGGATTTTACATATTATTTTTTCGACTTATTCGTTATAGACACTGGCATTGAATTCATATTACAAATAATAAATTAATAATTAAACATAAACATCGGGTTCTTTTTTTGTCATAATTCAACTTACTTATTAATGTGTATCTGTTTCTGTGTGCGCGAGTGGCAGGATTGTCTTATCACAAATGAACATCACTTAAACACATGTAAACTTAAATTTGATTTGATTCGTGGTTATACGGTTAACTTAACATTTAAAATAATTTAATTAAAGTTATAGTTAAATTTAACATCGTTTTCGTTTATATCATTAAGGTAAAAATATGTGATCTTGTCAATTACTAAATATGCTCATCCTATGTTGTCTTGAACTGGTTTTGTTTAAGTTAAGAAATTATCACAAATGGTTTTGTTTATAAAGTTTTGTTTTAAAATTATTTCCAATTAGTCAAGAATTAATTAAGCCCAATAAAAATGGTTGATTTTTATGGTTTGTCCAATGGCAATCACCAGTGATCCATGTCACGAATACGCTCCACTGGGGGATTTCTGAAACAAATCATATTTTAATATTGACATTGAGAAAATTCATTTAAAATAATAATAATTAAAGTTCGCAATTATAACTGAAAAATATTTTTTTTTTACTAATTCTCTTAGGATAGACTATGCAAATAATAGCAAAATAAAAAATAAAAATGAAATGTCATAAATGGTAAAAACAGAAAACATAAATTTAAAAATGTATTAAATAGGCAAAGTGAAAATAACAATATGGAAATATGTCTTATTTAGATTTTTAATAACTAGGGAGTCGAGTCAATATTTGACATATTTTTTATTTTGTTAATAATGAGAACGTGATTTCATGTAAATTGGTAAACTTACGGCAACATACGCGCCAAAGCGTGCTTGTGGAGCGGTGAAATTTGCACGGCTGCCGAG